TGATCAGGGAGATCCTAAAAGGGTGTCCTGTTGGCTCCAGTCTTTTTTATCTTTGGTCGAGGATGATGATGGTTTAGGGAACCAATAGAGACTCTTATCTGCACCCTAGAAATTTGGCAAGGACACATCGCATGATTCTTGCTCCCAGTTACAAGTAGTCCCATTGGTACAGGAACTGGTAGGAATGCAGATAACCACTTGCAGATGGAGACACTGTTTCAAATATCTGCGACCCTACATTTATTACAGCAATACTCACAATAGTCACTGATATAAAGGTAAAGGTAAAGGTAAAGTCCCTCCCATTGATCGTCGATTTGCTCGAGCGGTCCCAGTAATGTCTCCATTGGAGACTTTGTTGTTACTGTGTTTGGCTTATCGAATACTCTCGGTAGCTTGCCGGGCTCTCCGAGAGGGGCGGAGGAATCGAACTCGGGTAGGCCATGTTGGCCGCTTGTGAGGCGAACGCCCTACCCACTGTGCTATCGCTCCAGCCCCTTTGAATAAAGAAAATGTCATGCATTAATATTTATTATTTGGCTAGAAAAAAAGAAGAAAATACTCTTTAGGTCTGGAACCTGTGATACCATGGAAAGCTTTTAAGGGTTCCAATTAAAGAGAAAAAAGATGAAGAAAAACAAATATTATATGCTCTCTCATATGAAAAATTTATGGGCCTAACTCATGAAAATACATACAGTATGCTGGTTGCCAGGTCTCAGGGTTAGGAGGAATAGGGAGATAGATTAGTGTGCAGACTAAAGTTAAAATATGAATAAATTGTGAGGACATATTGACTTCATGGTGATTATAGTTCACAGTACTGAGTAGTATGCTTGCAACTTGCTACCAGAAGTACTTTGATCACACACATACACACACACACACACACACACACACACTTGCTTGTGTGCATGCACACACACAGGACACAGTACATCAAAACATTTATTTTTAATTTTGATCATCCCAGTAAAATTGTGTCTCAGTTGAAAGGAAGCAAGTTTACTACTGTTACTTGATAGTAATGCAGGTTAAGACAAACATAATCTATGTAAAAACAAACAGCAAATATTCTCTGGGGCAAAAAAAGACAAATTATAGTAGATAGAATATTATGTATTATGAGACAAGGCTCTATTTTTAAGAATATAATGGTTCTAGAGCATGAGTAGATGAAGCAATAAGGTGATATATATGTATATACATATACGTGTATATGTATATACATTCTAAAGCTATTGAAAATTATATTTATGTCACCCCCAGTCTTAACTTTATTTGCTGAGGTAAACTGAATTCAACTTTCATTCTGATTCAATTTAGACCCTTCAATTGATTATTCTTCTGACCAAAGTGGGCATAGACTTAGTAAGAAAGTTTGTTTATATAGATTCTTAAACTCTGAGATATGTGCAAGTATCAGACAGGTGATTTCAAAGAAAAGTCCTAAATTCTAGTTCTTTCCTTAAGGGCTGTGAGGCATATGAGTACAAATTCAGTATTTTGAGAGACGTTTTCTGAATCTTAGAAGAAAAAAACAACTACCAGCAGCAAGTGGTGATGGTACTAACCCATTATTATTATTCAAGAACACACAGGTTTTCATCATTACAATGCTATTTAAAAATACCCAACTTGTTTATAGCCTTCATTTGTGGAACAGCCTAAGGCATGAGGGGAATAACTAATTTATATTTGTGCAATCTCATGTTCTCCTGTAATTATCAGCTGGGACTCTGCCAGCGTTCTATGATTTTTAACAGGTCTGGATTTGTTACCCATATGACTAGGGAAGTTGCTGGTCTGGATGACCTTGAATTTCACTTCCTTATTTTGGCTTAAGATGGGACTCATGTATTTCAGTATTTCCTTCTCAGCTCGCTCTTAATTGGAACTGGGTGAACTTAATCACCCTAGCAGAGATAGAAAAGACTGATTCCAAAAGGTGGCAATATTTGAAAAATCACCTTACTCTCTTTTCCTTTTTCTCTTCCTTGCCAAAAATAAACTAAAAGTAATTATTGGTACTTAAAAATTACCCAAAAGTACTGCTAAGTGTACTTAATTGGTTCTTTGCCACATGACTACCAAAAACTACAAGTTCATGATTTTTTACTAGTTTCTTTTTAATAATAAGAACTGTAATTATTATTTTAATTGAATCACCATGAGATACAGAGTTACAAAGCTGTTCATGGTCAGGTTCCAGTAGCACTGCAGCACTGTCGTCCCATTGTTCACTGATTTGCTCGAGCAGGCACCAGTAATATTTCCATTGTGAGACTTGTTGTTACTGTTTTTGGCATATCGAATACGTCATGGGTAGCTTGCAGGCCGCATGACGCCCTACCCGCTGTGCTATTGCTCTAGTCCAGGTTTCAGTAAGTTTATTAATTTTTAATAAAAAATCACCTATTATTTTGGGAAAGAATATACCCTGAAGTGTTCAGGGGCCCTTCCCAGTTCAGTGTTCATGGGTCACTTCTGCCTGTGCTCTGTGTTGTATCAGGGCCTGAACCTAGACCTCCAGCCTGTTGAGCTCCTGCCCTGACTTCTACATTTCCTGCTCTTTTTCTTCCTTTTAATTCTGCCCTCTGCTACCATCTTTCCCCTTGAAGATGGCATATGTGGCTCTTTAAACTGATTCACTAAACTCACCATCTCCTTTTACGCCTCTACAGTTTGGTTCTTTGCTATTCTTTTGCATACAATATTTTTATCTCTTTTCTTTCCTGGGTAAATTGCATATATTCTTCAAGGATCAGCTCCGTTAACAGTAAATAGATTTTTCCAGTGCCACGTGATGTGCTTAGCAAATAAAAGAGAGTAAAAATGAAGCAAATCTTTTCCAGTGACCCCCACAGATGGAGAAGAGAGCCTTACCTCAGTCTACTCATGTATCAAAGTGGTTCATGGTATCTAGAATCCAACATTTAAAAAAATTTTTTTTATTGAATCACTGTGAGATAGACCATTACAAAGCTGTTCATGATTTGGTTTCAGTTATATGGTGTTCCAACATCCATCCCTCCACCAGTGCACATTTCCCAGCACCAATGTCCTCAGTTTCCCTCCCACTCTCCCCAACTTCCCCGCATCTTGGCCTCCCTCTATGGCAAACACTTTTTCTCCTTCTTTCCTTCTCTCTCTCTGTTTCTCTCTGTGTCTCTCTCTCTGTTTCTCTCTCTCTCCTCTCTTCTTTTGGGCACTGTGGTTTGCAATACTGATACTGAAAGATTGTCATGTATATCCCTTTACCTACTTTCAACACTCAGTTCTTGTCCAGTGTTATTATTTTCAACTATTATTGTCATACCCTTCTCTCTCTTACCTACCTTACCTACATTCTACCTCCTCCCCGCCCCCAAACACACACTTGTGGTAGATTCCAACCAGTACTCCTGAAGAATCCAACTTTTGACTCATTGAGTCTAAATCCACTAAATGACTGTGTTCACTAGTTTTTCAGGCTCAATAGTCCCATCCTTCCACTGTGATCACAGTACTACCTCTTCTTGCATAGGTTCTTGCGTGGAGTTTATGGGATATTATGCAGAGTGCTTAAAATGCCCTACAAAAACAGTAGCCAGTATCTCAGTAAATCTCATTCACTGATTGGTCAACTTTCCAATTCATTTGTAAGTTTCTCATAAGCTACAAACATTTTATGTTATTACAAGAAAGACTGCCCAAGTGTGACAGAATGTGAAAATTATGCTTTTTATTGTAGTCACATAAAATAGTCAATTACACCAAGTTGTCCAAATGCTTTGGTGAATAAAGCCTCCTACTCTTACAAATTTTCATCCATATATCTATGCATTTATAAATACACACATATGTAAAAGATATATATTTTCTTCTAAAATAAAGTGCCCAAATCTTGATATGGGGGCATAAAAGGGAGCAAAGAATCAAAGTTTTATGTGTTAATCTGTCTAATACTCACTTTTGCAGGTAAAATGAATTTTGACCACTTATTCTTTTCTGAATTTTACTAAGTGGCTTAATTTTTCTTAAATATCAAAAAGAAGACATGTGACCCATCTAATGAATCAAAAACTAATTTTTCTTCCTGTGTGTGGCAGAACAGAAGCTCAGCTACCCAATATAAGGCTAGTTAAGCTTTGTTCTCTTTCTCATGTTTTTGACTGTGGTCTTCTAGGGTTCCAAACAGAGAAAGAGATGAACTGGACATCCCTAAATCCTCCATTTGCATTCAATAAAGTGGGTACAGAGAACAGATTCCAAATTCACAGCACCCAAGGTTTGATAAAAAAAATTGCCTGTTGGGGGCCTTAATTGGTGGGTCCTGCTACCCATCCTAATCAAATCTTGTTTGAGTCACAGAAGAAGAATTCAGGGCGACGACTTACAAATGACTGAGAGTGGAGAACTGAATTTCAATTCGACTTGAAATGGAGAGCTTCGTGAGAGTATGTGCGAGTTTAAGAACAAAATCAGGGTTCCATAAAAGCTCCAAGATTTCAGATAATTCAGAAAAACCTTCTCGGCAAAGAGGAACTGGGGCTCTACTCTAGCTTCATCACCTCCACGCCACATCCCGTGTGTTCCCTGCATCCCTGTGATCCTAGGCATCGAACAGAAGCATTTGTCACCTTTGTCTACATCCCCCCAAAACTGCCTTGGGAAAAGACTCCGAGCTACTTACGCAAGGTGAAGATGCCTAGTAATAGCTAAACACGAACCCTGCCATGTTGCAATCACTGGTGATGACATTAGCGGGTGTCCTATGAATCAAGCGGGAGAGGGCAACGCTGTCCACACTGACATGCAGTGAAACACGCTACCGCGACTCAACACATAAGAGCCCGGGGAATCATGGGGAGCAGCGGCACGTTCAGAGCCAGAATAACACACAGAGGTTTGGTATTCTTTTTGTTGTTGTTGTTTGTTTTTGGAAGAACATAAATGGGCAGCGCGTTTCCCAGCCCTGGCCCACTTGGCAGGCAGGGCCGTGCGGAGTCCCGCGACGCCGCCTAACTGCTGATCTTGGTGAGCATCTTGTTGATGGCCTGTTTGACGTGCGTGGTGGAGCTGCGTCTCCGGGTCTTGCCCTGGACCATCCTGCGGCGACGCACTTCGCGGCACAGCTCGTAGAAGATCTCGCTGATGTTCCCCTCGCCCGTGCAGGCTGAGCACTCGTAAAAGGCGCAGGCCAATTCCGTGGCTAGCTTCTCCCCTTCTTCTGTGCTGACCTGTCTGGAGTGGTCCAAGTCCGCCTTGTTCCCCACCAGGATGAGGGTGACGTTCTTGGGCTTCTTCAGTTCGTCCAGGACGTTCTTGAGTGGCAGCACCTCCTCGAAGCTCCCCCGGTCGGTGATGTCGTAGACCAGCACGAAGCCTTCGCCCCAGCGCATGTGTCCTTCCCTCTGGATGGGGTCCTCCTGTTGGGAAGGGACAAAGGCATGGTAATCTGCGCCTGCTGCTCACAGAGTTTCATGGGGGAACTATTTCTCGTGTGTGATGATGGTATTAGAGTATCACGGTGTAGCTCCAAGGGCTGCACCCTGCTTCCATCAAAAGCAGATGGTAAAGGATGACTTGGGCAGGAAGCCTGCCGATGCTCTAGAAGGAACTATTTCCTAGTGGCACAGGCTTGAACTTTCCCCCTTAAAATGGGTTCTTGAAAGTTCAGAGGCGTCCAGACCTATCTGGCCTACCACCCCAGAAAGAAAAAAGAAAACACCAAGCCCCTCCTGGAAATCTGTTCTCTTTAAACTAATACAGCACCTCCAATTATACTAGAGGGTTCTGCTCCCTGGACCCATACCCTCCACCCCCACCCCAGGGGGCAGTATGGCCAATGTCAACAAACAACTCCAGACTATGAACTCTGTGATCATAAACATTTTTAAATAAATTAACATTATACTTGAGCACATTGCTTCTGAGATTAATTGATCAAAAATAAGAAATTGGTAAATATGTCACAGACCGGTAGCTCTCATCCTACCCTGGCATGATCGAAATGGGCGAGATAGGCTAGTCAAATAGTTTTGCAGGTTGTTTTTTAAATCTCCTTTTCTTTCACATTATAGATTATTAGTTGGGGTGGGGGCAAAATGTGAAGAATTAAATCCAACATCTTATTCAAAGCCAGAGTTTGGGGCATTTGATTTCTTTTTCAACACTTCCAAATGTTATGTTCCAGTAACTACGGGAACTCATTTGAAGGAATTCTGAGATGGGGAAGGCTTAGGTGCTGCCTGAGCAGGTCCAAAGTGATTTGGAGATGTACGGTCTGCAAGGCTTGCTGCCGCACACACTCACCACAGCCTTTTTCTAGAATTAGTGTTGGGTGTTAGGTGAGGGCTATGTACCGAGGAGGTGGAAATGAGAAGGTAAAGTATATTCTTAGTGACAGGAACATTTCTGGATTAAGTTCTTTAACCCAAGGAAAATTTCATGTGCATCCTTGGTAACTAAATCTATGAATACTTTTGTGATTTCAGAACTGATTGACCTCTGCAGCAGGTTTGTATTAATTTCCATTTTTTAAATAAGCTTTTATTGTTCAATGATGTGGTTCAGATTTTTCATAGGACATGGTGAGATATGGAAAGAACCTTACAGGAGGGATTTCTAAAATATTCTCAACAAAAATTAATCTGAGGTCATGTAAATTTGGAACATAATGTTTACCGAATTTCTTAAAAGATTAGCCTTCAATAATTTCTTCATTAAAGATTGAACAAAGCACTTCAAAACACTGAAGTATGAAAACGATGAATATGGTATTTTCAAAATTTCTCTGAAATGCTGGTTGACTTACATAAGGAAACATACACAGGCTGTGGAAAAGATGCTAGTATATAAAATATGTCAAAGAGAAAAATCCTTAAGCATCATTTGCAAATTGTAGAAAACTGTCTGAACTTTGTTCATATAGAAAGCATCATTTTTCATTTGACACAGAAACTATTTTAGCAGAAGTCCTTATTCACCTGACCCGCAGTATCTAGTATCTCCATGGTGACAACTTCATCGTCAATAGTTGCTTGGTGTCGGTAGGTTGATTCTAGAGGAATGAGGAAAAGAGAAGTTTAAATAGAATAATGGAATGCTTCTGTTTAATACTTAAAATTAGAAATTAATCACAAGAGTATATCTGAATTTATAGGACAGGAATATCCACTCCAGAAGAGAGAGGATGGAGGTGCAGGATATATCCTCTGTTCACCTCACAGCGCCTGGGCCACAGGTTCGAATACAGGAATCTCTTGCATTTTTTCTTCTTTGCTCAGTCTAGTTTCCTTCTTTAGGCTGACTTCCTGATTCCTCCTATACTAAGGCTTTAAAATGAGAATTATATATCTTAAAATGAGAGCGTGATTTTCACACAAAATAAATTCTGCCTTGATACTCCTAAAAATCTGGTTTGTGGAAATGATTGTTAATCCCTGATCCTGAAGGATGCCACAGAGGTAGATCCAGTTTACTCCTCTCCAGACTATAATACTGAAAATGAAGGAAGACACTGGAGGAATGAGGGTGGTTACATATAAAATGAACAAAGCAAAACAAAAAACAAACTCCAAATCACATAAAGCTGAAAACCGCTTGAAATATTAGATTGGTTGGACCCCAGAGTTTGAAGGTTGGTGAGAAACAGTGACTCAGAAGAGGCCTGAGCAGCATCACACTGATCTAGTGAACTTGCTCATTAGGCCTCTTCTAGATAGACAAATATCAGCAGGTCTCTACGAGATGGAAGCTGGTAGTATAGAATCGGGTTGGTGTCCTCCTGCGCCACACAGGGGTGAGTTAGCAGGTGAAAGAGAATGGGGGGACTCTGAGTGAGTTTCTTTACCACATGAATGGGAAACCAAAAATAACTGTCAACTAATGTATGGTACATAAAGACTAAAACAGTCAAAATAAAGAACTACTAAACAATTCAGCCAATGAAAGTCTATTCCAGAGACTCTCCCAGAAAGTGTCATAAATGATAAGAAAAAGTAAAAGATATGAGATAAGGTTAATAGAAAAATATTATCTTTTCTAAAGAGAAGCTCAAGGAGAGGTTAAAATACATTAGGGTGAAAATATCTGAGGTTATAATGACCAAATTTCTCAGGATGAAAATCTGCACATACATTGTACTAGAAGGAGACCTAAGGGAGAAAAATTCCATATCTAAACCTTCTACGGCCAAAGTGACCAAGAAGAAAATTCAAAGGTATTATAAGGATAAAAGAGCATGTAAAATGGACACGATCTTCTCATGAGCCAAAGTGAATTAAAAAATTATTTTAAGATAAAAAGAAAAAGAAAAATTGAAAGTTTATTTTAAACATAGATTCCAAAATTCTAACTATTATCCAGTGGAGTACAGTAATATAAAATGACATCATGATTAAGCAGTTTATTTCAGAAATGCAAAGTATTTAGTCTATCAATTAATTTTAACAAATTAATGAACTAATGGGAAAATCATATGATAACTTCCATAAATGGGGAAATTTTGCATATAGTTCAGTGTTAATATTTTTACAGATGTCCAAGGAATGAAGAATGGAAGAAGTTTAAATGCTTGGGGTTTGTTCAGTGGACCTTGAATTGTGAAGTATGAGAGAACTGAACCCAGAATTTCTACCTGCACATCATGTGTGCCAGTCCTTGGAGCCATCTCTCCAGCCCCAGAACAGGAAGCTTTTGGATGGAAACCAAAATGGCAGTGTTTTTCACAAATGACTCTCTGATGTCTCTGATCCCATTCTCAGGGATATGTTCCAGGGAATACTTGTTTAGGTTCTTAGAAGAACCTTGGCAGCAACTGGTTCTCAGAATGTGGCCCTTGGTTCAGCATCACCATCACCCAAGAAGTTCTTAAAAATGTAAATTTTTAGCTTTCACCCCCAAGAGCTACTGGGTGTGAGAATATGTGTCTTAATAAGTCCTGTGGAGCATATGTACTGAGGTTTGAGAACTACTGATGGAAATGAATGGTTTCTAGGTGGTGCTGGAAGAAGTTCAGGCTGGAGATTACCTGAAATATCAATGCTTATCATGGAAAAGATAACTAGGTTGAGTGGGGCAGAACGAGAAATATTAGGCAGAAAGCTAGATACGGTCTGGCAACATAAATGGTTCATGAGACCATGTTCCTCTTAAAGACCAAAAACAGATCTTTATAGCAGTAAAATTCATATACATTTAAGATATGTAGTATACAAAAAATTAGATTTTAATAGACAGATAGCATACACTTCTGGCTATTTGAACAGAATTTGTTCTAAATGCTTTGTTTATATTAACTAATTCTCACAAATATCTAATGCAGTAGGAATTATTGCTAATTCCATTTTGTACGAAAAAACCAAGGCACAACAATACTAAATACATTGCCGTGGGGCACACCGGATGGTGAGTAGTAAGTGGTAAATTTGAGATTCCAAGCCACTAAGTCTGGATTTATAATTTAGACCATGAACCACAATGCTAAGGACCCACATTTTACATTATATATTTGTGGGAAAGAGGAGAGTGATGATTTAGAACAGGGAATATAAAGTGAAAAAGTATAACGATTTCACCTGCATGTAATCTACTCAGTATAGAGCAGTATTAAATCAATTAACTACTAAACTAACCAACTAGCTATCCACCTGTCCTGCAAACTAACCAAACATCCACCCATCCAACCAACCAACCGACCAACCAACAAAATAACCTAGTGCTATTATTTTCCTTTCTATCTTATTTTTCTTCTATTTATTCATCCCCTAAACTATTCTGGAGTTATTTTTGACCACAGTTTTGTTACTTTGCTTTAATATGTAATCTCCTACCCAGCATGCAATCAGCTAAAAGGAGAATTAAATAAGAGTAACCTCACCACATCACTGCCATCAGCTGTGTATAATGATCATTGGCACATGCATGTTGCTAAAGTAGCTTCATAAAATTAACCCTTTTTAAAGTACCTGTCTGGAACACTATTATCGCTCTCTTAGAATCCATAATGGTGTGCACAATTCTTAGTTCTAGAACATTCCATCCCTCTACTTTTTAATGTTAAACGGGGACATATTGAATGCTCTAAAACATTACTTGTACTGACTACTCATCAACAAGTGTTCTCACTCTAATTTCTTGTTTCATCTCCAGCTTGCGAGGGGAGGCCCGGACAGCAGCACCATTCTAACACCCATGACTTTTCTCTCTCCCCCTTACTGTTCTGCAGTGCCCTTTTGTGCTCTCTTTTCAAAGAATTGGCGTCTGCCCTGGAGCCTGGAAAACAGAGCTCTGGGCTCTGTTCCATCTCTTTGCACCAAAAGTTATATGACGAACAGGGCCACTTTTCTCTGCTTGCTTCCATGACAAACAGATCTGGATTACAACCACAGAAATGGGGGGAAGGGAAACAGGATTGAATGAAAGTTGCTTGGAGTTGTATGACTTTCTTGCCTGTTTGTTAGCTGAGATGAAAAAACGAGATGCAGGAAATGAGGAAATGTCTGCCACAGACATAACAGCGGGTGGCAACAGTGATTTCATCTAAGCAGAACACTGGTTTTGTGCCATTTGGGGAATTTTTTAAAAGCCTCTCCTCTCTCATTAGGTACCCATATCTACATGTGAATCAGTATAAGCATTGCCTACAGAGGCAAAGCTCATCAGTGTGTCTTTTAAAGACTATTCTTTAAAATGTCTTACTTTGGGGAAATAAACTCTACCAGAACATAAGGGAAAATATAATTGTGACAATACCGGATTCTTTTTTTTTTTTTTGGTGGAGGTGGGATTTGGGTAGACGTGGTTTTTAAGGAGATCCTTCTAAGTAAACCAAAATGCTCTTACGAGACCAACATTAATTTCAAAAAAGAAAATGTTAAAATTTATATCTAAATTTCATTGTTCAAATAATAAGTTAAATCTTCATTCAGTAACATTTTATTAAGAAAATTCATTTTTTATATTCCAAGTTGATACTCAAGGGGATATTGTACATGGTTAATCTCTTTACGAATTTAGCCTTGTCTAAGGACAAATTTTAATTAAGATGAACATTTGTCCTCATAGTAAAAACAGCAACAGTTAATAATGTTGATTTAAACTACAGCAGAAATAGTATTGACTAGAATTCTGTTGCTGTTCTGACCACAGCTAACTATGTAATACTGGGTAATTTAATATTGGGAACGTCTTTATTTGTCAAAAGACAATCTCCAAGTTTCTGGCTATGCTGATATTTAATGACTTCGTAAGTTGGTGAAGCATCCATTCTACTTTAGTATACAGTTGAGATTTTTTTTCTGGGAGTGTCTCTCTCTTTGAAGGAGTCTTTCTCAGCATGAGGAATTGTAAGGTAGGCTGGGAAAGTCAGTCACAAAAGGCAAAGTGCTTGTGAGTTCGGTTCCTATCCTGGCTCCTGCCTGAACCTTCACTAAACAGATACATCACACATATAACGACTCCTTTTCAGGAGCAGTTGTGGGACCTGCTAAAATTGTCTCTTTCCCAACACACACACATAGACAGACTCACAAATACACACACACGCACGCACAATGGTACGAAGCATAACATTTGTTTCTTTGCTATGATCAGAATCAGAGCAAGATGACTCTTGGAGATAGAGATTCAGGTCCAGTTCCTTAGAAGGATCTAATCTGAACATGAGCCCTTTGCTCCTACACCCAGCATACTGCTCCTCTGCCACTCCTAGTTCCCTGATCAGATGGCCTGACCCAGATCACAGGAGCATCATTGGTGATTTTCAAATGCTGTTCATAGATCGACTCTGGCCTCTGACATACATTTCTCAGTTCTACAGTGAAACGAGGAAAATGTCATGAAAGCTAAGTATGAATGACTTCTTAGATTACATTTTTTTCAAAACTTCGTGTCAATATACATATATATCTATATACAGATCTATCTATATTCCTTTCTTAAAAATGAAAATGGATAGTATATGTGGTTTTTTTTGTCACCCTATCTTTCTGCATCCTGTATTAGAATTTCTATAACTGTGCCTCTTCATGAAAAAAGGCATGGAATCTGAAATCTAAACATTTGAGTATCACTTGCTACTAAAGTAATAGACATTTTCTAGATTGAATTACTTCTGAGCAAATAATTTCAGATTGATACAAATTCCAGGTTAGTCAATATGTTTAAGTGTGCCAGTGGCCGTCAGCTATGGGCTAATCATTGCTGCTGATTGAAAACACAGCCTCGTCATTCTAAGGAAAGCACTGAATTCAGATGTCAGGACTGTTTCGTGCAAATCTGTCACTTGGCTTATTTAAAAAAAAATTTTTAATTGAGCACTGTGATTTACAGTATTATGAATGATGGTTTTCTGTGCACATAATTCCAACACCACTTTGCTTTTTAGCGTCATTTTCCCTTTGGTGGTGGTTTTGAAACTGATAGTGTAGCAGTTAAAACTGACCCGTTTTGGATCGGGTGGACTGGGGATGCCTGGAGTCCGGTGCTTTAGTGACCCCGGTCCCCTCAGTACACATGGATGCATATGCATGCAGACACAAATCCAGTTTCCAGGGAGAGTGCATGGGATCCTCCCCCGGGGAGTGAGTCATATACCTGATCTCTCCCAGGGTCTCACGAGCTCTCCCGTTGCTTGGCAGCTGTGATTTCTTTTGTGCAGTACAGTGCAAGGTCACCTAGTAAAGTTTCATTCTGCTCAGTGAAGGAAACCTATCTCACAGCTAACTGATACAGGTGGATTCCTATTAATAGCAGGTGTTTTCAGAATGAAAAAACAAAAAAAGGGAAACTGATTAAGGTGAGACTGGTTAAGAACAGCCACTTCAGTAAATGGAACATATTCAGAGAAAGGGGAGAGAAATTGTTTTGAGAGCATTTTTTAAAAGTTTTTACTTTTAGGACCATTTAAAAAACTAACTTTATTATTCATTGAGATATGCTAATATAAATAAAGAAATGGATGTTTTTCTACTAAAATCCTTTAATCATTATGATTCCTGGGTATTAGGATATTTGTAAAACTTTTATAAGTCATAAAAATTTAAGAGAAGGCTTGTTATCTAATTAAGTGGGTCAAACAATACATAATGATTTTTAAAAGCCAGGTCCACTTTAAGATTCATATATATAATATATATCATTTTAAGATTAGACTGACTGTATTAAAAACATATTAAAATTTCTGACATTGAAAACCTATTTAAAAATTTTAAAAGATTAATAAATGTAGAGACATGACTTTCTCTTAGATTAAAAGAATGACTCATAGATATCTTTTAGAAGTAATTTAAAGTTTAAAAGAAACTGATAAAAAATCATGTCATTAAATATAGAATTCCTAATATGAATTTGAAAGAATAAAATGGAAGGAGCAGCCAAAGTAATTTTGTAAAAATGCAAGGAAAGAAGACTTTCTTTACTTTTTTATTGTATTTTGAGTTATATAAGTTTTACAAATATTCTAACTCTCAAAAATCTTAATAATTAAAGGAATCAGTAGAAAAACATTCATTTTTTATTTATACTAGTATGTATTAATGAATAATAAATTATTATTATTTATTATTTATTTATTAAATGGTCTGAAAAATTTTAAATGCTCTCAAAGTAATTAAAACAACTAAAGACATTTAATTTTTAAAAATTCAAGACTCTTATGGTGTTTCACTAATAAAAATTTTTAAAAATAATTAATTAATTAATTAAAGACTCTCTTTACCTTGCTTTCTTTTATCCATCAAAATGCCCTATCAACAAACAAGAGTGTGGCACGGGCTTTGAATATAGAACTTCTCTTGATTCAATATCTATCAACTCTTTTTTTTTTGATTAAAGACTATAAACTCAGAAAAATCAGAGATGATATGTAGGTTTTTCCTCAGCATCTAAAATAATTGGACACTAAAATAATTTGTCTTTTGAATGGAAAATGTTAAAACAATGAAAGACGGCCTAAAGGGGAAAAAAGCTCTCTTTTAAACCCAACATATACAATCTTGGAGTCATAATACAAACTAAAGACAGGAATGAGGATTTTTTTGCCAGTTCACTACTCCCGGGATGCACAGTTCTCTCTGGGATGCCTCCACGGCTGATGGTGATTTGGGGTGTCAATCCCTTTTCCTCTGGACTTCAAAGTTGTTGCCTTTGACAAAACCGACTGGGCTTCTGAAGCAAAACAACTATAAACGCAAAGGCTAAATTTAGAGTAAAATCTGAAGCTTAAATTAGATCTCATGGATTTTCAGCATTGTTTGGAAGACAGTAGCTAAATAGATTTCTAATAACTATTCTGTTTTAGGTTATTTAAAAAAAGACAAAACTTCATATAACACCGTTATTGCTACCTTAGACATAATTAAGACCCTTAGATATACTTCTCTGCTATTTAAAATTTTTTTACAAAATACACCTCTGTTAAACTAATGGGAGAGATGAGGGGGAGAAACTTAATTTCAGTTTTCCAAAAGTCAGTATTCAGAAGTGTTGTCATACTCTCATATTCACTTGGGCATGTCATTCCATCCCACCTCAAGTTAGCCAAATCTACTATAACCTCTTTTCCCTGTTACAAGGATATTATGTTTTCTTGAGAGACAAGCTGAATTCTGCACCCACTTCTCTGTCTCCAGTTTGAAGTGCTTTCTCCATCTATGCATAAAAATTCTGTGGGTTTTTGAAGCATAGTCAGAAACACATTCCTAGCTTCTCAGAGGAATTCTTTGCATGAGTGTATAATGTGCTTCCGAAGTAGTGGCAATGTGCTTTAAAAATATCTAAACAGAAAACGTCATTCTCTCTTCTGTGCCATAAATCTTCACTGGCAAGAGGGAAAAAGAAAACTGAACCTACCAAGAGTGGGGTCATATTCCCAGATGAACCGTTTGGTCAGAAATCTCACTACAAGAGCTGTGAAAGAAAAAAAAAAAGAGCAACATTTCAAACTAATTGGTAAATTTTCTTACAGTTCTTTTACCCTTATGAAAGAGAAATAAATCATACAATTATACATGTTTTACCCCTGAACATGAACATACAAATTCAATATTCATAGTATTCAAAGACCTTTTACACTTTATATCCTGAAAACTGGTCTCATGTCTTAATGGGCTTTTTGTATAATAACCAACAGCTCGACTTGTTCTTCAGTCATAGGGTCAGAAACACACACAAAACATGGCCATGTGAAAATGTTCATGTGTAAAATAACTTTTAGCAAAACAATGCATTCAGATACAAAATGTCACAATAAAGATGTCTAATGTCTGCATATGGATAAAGACTGACAAAGATGATAAAAAAATGTAATCATTTTGGGGCTGGAAAGATGGCTTAAAGGGGGATGATGGCACATGTCTTGCAGGTATAATGCCCTGTGTTGAAAATACATACAATCCGAAGGGAAATATTCCAGTGGAATCATAAGTCTTTTGGGGATCCCACTGATACAATAGATAATTTTTATTATATTATGTTTAATTATTATTCAACAAATCCGATTATTTTAAAAATCTTATAAAGTTCTTTTAAAATTTTTCTTTTGCTTCGGGCCCCACCCAGCAATCCTCAGGGGTTATACTTGGCTTTGCACTCAGGAATTACTCCTGGGAAGTGCTCATGGGGACCAGGTGGGGTGCCGGAGATCAAACTCAGTTTGGTCACATGCCAAACCAATGCCCTACCTGCTGTACTATAGCTCCAGCCCTTAAAATATTGCAACCCTACCACTAAAAGATCTATTAGTAAGATACTTTCCTTTTTATTGAGATGCCTTTTACGTAGAATCTAAAGAGAGTCCTAGAATAACAGAACTGGAGCTCAGTGAAAGTGACGGCCTGTGTTTGGCCTTCAGATCTGCAGCAGTGGTAATCCCCACCAGCAGGGCTTCCATGGGAGATCACAGAGCAAATTCCGGCAGAGCCTCCTAAAAGGGACCACAAGCACATGTGGCTTCGCTAAGAGACAGAGAGTAGCGATGCTCTTCTAATTACAGAGGGTGAGGATGATTTGGAGCCAAAATGCTATGGTGCCTAATGCAACAAGGCCACTGACCCTGTGAGGCTTCCCATGGAGACCGTCCTGTGGTTTGATGTGCCATTTTCAACTGTCACTCTTCTGTCTCCAGAGACTGGATCTTTTTAATTTTTTTTTAAGTCAGAAACAGTAAACACTAGACAGATACTTTTCCGTTTTTAAATTAGCACTTTCAGTAAACACAACTGCCTGGGGGATGCAGAGACTTTCATCTTCTGTTGGAATGCTCTGTTTTAACTCTCAAGGCTACAACCCCGAAGAGTCCACTCTGCTAGAGTCTTTAATGGAATGAGTTGTGGGCATGAACAAAATTCTTTATGTAGCTGAGGTCTGAAGATCATAACTCCAAGACTATGTAAACTTAAATGATTTTTCATAGTAATCTTTTCAAATGTATTGAAATGTTGACTTTCAATATAAAGTCTACTGAACACAACTAAATTGAATCATATTTTTCCCATTTTTTTGGGGGGGTCACACCCAGCGATGCTCAGGGGTTACTCCTGGCTCTGCACTCAGGAATTACTCTGGTGGTGCACAGGGGACCATATGGGACACGGGATTGAACCCGGGTTGGCCACATGCAAGGCAGATGCCTTACCATTGTGTTATCGTTCTGACCCCAATTGAATCATTTTTACACATCAGGACCTTAGTTTGCTTTAAAAGCATGATTTAGTTCACAGGAATACCTTTAGAAGCTGTAGAATGGTCGAGGCAGAAAAACTCTAGAGAGCTCAAGCTTTTAAGTATTTTTAGTTTAGTTTTTGAATATATATATTCATACATACACATAATTTTCTCCTTCATTTATTTATTTGGTTTTGGTTTGGAGGTCACGCCCAGTGGTGTTAAGGGTTTATTCCTGGCTCTATACTGAGGAATTACTCCTGGCAGACTCAGAGACCATATGGAGTGCTCGGGATGGGATCCAGGTCCACTGCGTGCAAGTGCCCCACCCCCTGTGCTGTATGTCCGGTCTTATCTTTCCTTCTTTAAGCATGATGTTTTCTTTTGGTCACTGTCACTGACACCATCTCTAATAACCATCTGCATGTCTGTCTATTTATTGCTTTTTTTTATTCCGAAAACTGATAAGCCAGATTAACAAAGTTTGTTAGAAGTTGTCAAACTCATTCTGCTTATCACCCACTTTCCCAAAAACATCTATCCTCAGTATTCCCTGAAAATATCTATCTTTAAGCAATAAACAAGACGCCTTCTTCCCCATCACACCAGTATGGGTCCAGCCACCTTCACTCCAGGGCAGTATTGCCCACTTTGGGAAACGTGGCCTAGAAATTTTGTCTGTATTGGAGCAAACTAGACCTGGGACTAGTTCTAAGGAACCTATCAAGTTTATTAATATAAACTTGATGCCAGTTTATATTATAAATATATTATTTGTGTTTATATAATATATTCATTATATAATATTACAAATGCATTATATAATATAGATATATTATAAATATAAACTGGTATATTTCAGAGCAGGTATGTATGTTGTGAAGGGATTCTGATGGCTTCTCTACCTCCCAGAAGACCTAATATATTGGCTGGACTTCAGTGAAATTCAACAAACTATTTTGGATGTATTTTTTAAAGGAGACACAATCAGCATTTGTTGTTATTTTAATAACAGATTCACACATCAAAAATTCAATCTTTCAAAATGCATTAAAAAAGTCAAAACGTCCTTTAAATGTTTGACATGTCCTAGGAATATTCTTTGAAGACATGCTTCTGTCACTTACAGATTATTCATGGAGAAGTCAAATGCATTTTCTCTATTTTTAAGTGCACAATAGAATTCTAATTTAAAATTAAGAATCTAAAATTTACATGTGTGGAAGTGATATCTGTCAATGGTTCTATTAGTAAATTATGTCTGAAGTACTCAGATGACATTCATCATTTCTGATTATAGTTATAAAAAGTCACCAGTACTCCTTATCCCCAAATTTCACTGATTTTATTATAAATAGAATTTTCCACATGATTTCTCCCACCATATCTCACCTCCCCCACAACTCCCCCTCTCACTACTGGTTTCACCTGCCAATGATAACCCATTCTTGTTTGACTTCACTGAAGTTACCTGTGCCCCTGGAACCCCCCTCAATCACTCCTTCTACAGCAGCAATAATTTTGTTAAAATTCCGACAATTTTAAGTCAACTTTTCTTTCCCATTTTCCCCAACTTGACTTCACTAACAAATTACTGAGTGTCTGTTCTGTGTGAAGTTCTCTTCTAGGTATTTGGAATAATCAAGTCAACAATTTGGATAAATGTGTCTGAATTACAGAATTCTATCCTTTTAACAGGAGGCAGATCAAAATAAATCCAATCAATCATGAATAAGGTGATAAGAGCTCTGGGATAAAAGAAGGGCTGTGCGGGGGAAGGAGGATTCGACACTAGTGGATGAGATGTGAGTTTTTACTGAAGCTAGGTATTTGGGATGATGGGCATAGAGAGGGTGAAATCAGAAGGAGTCGAGGGAAGATATTTGAGGGAATAGCATCCACAGAAGAGGGAGAGAAGCGCAAGGATCCTGCGGCAAGAACACAGTCAGCTGCCTATGTTCATGGAACAGGAAGCAATAGGGATGAGGGGATCAGTCATTCTCCTCACGTGTTTTGTATCACAGTGTTATCACGATCACACTTCCACATGTATTAGAACAATATTACAAATGAAGGTGTTTTGAAAGAGTCCATACTCACATAACTTTTACTTCTGTGTATTCCATAATTGTTCTATTTTCCTAATAGCTGTTTTTGTTACTTCCTTATTGTACTAATTTATAAATTAAAACTTCTCCTAGATATGTATTTGTAAGGTAATATATAAAACACACAGGCCTGGTGCTGGCTATGGATTCAGGGGTCTTGGACTATAGTCTCATGGAAAAGAAGGGGCTACTATAGTAATAAAAACAACCGAAATGTTTATATACTTTATTTACTATTACATTTGGACTTAATCCTTCTTTGGAAGAATATGCCTGGATATTGGGCATGAGTTTTGCGAATAAGGGCAGGAATTTGTGTAAGTTATCCTTGTTCTACATTGCCTTAAATAATTTCTTTCCCAGAATAGAATGATGAATACTTGCTGAATAGATAAAAATATATTAATCCATATCTCAGCTCACTTTTTCTAACAATTCAATAACAACTCAACAATGAAAAAAAGAAGTAATAAAGTTAACTTGAGAATTCACCAATAAAACAAGCATAGTTCTCTTTGTGCTTCATTGTCCCTATAAAAATTGCACTTGCAAATTTATTAAAGGAGTTGCCATAACATTAACCTAATTTTCTTTTGATAATCCTCCCAGTAGCTTGAGCACAAATTTTCTTTTGCAATGAAATGGCAGTACTAACCATCTTTATTTCCACTAGGAATCTGTTACAAGGCATTGACTTTTGAGAATTTGTGCGGTTTGACATATTTGATTGGTTACAGTTAAGTATCTGGATTCTGACATACTTTATTTTCTTCCCATTGCTTTGAAAATTCATACCTTCCCCCTACTTTAGCCAAAAATGTCTAATGGCTATGCTAGAAAAGATTTTCTCCTTGTGCCCAATTTACAGACTATTTAGATAATATCTCACGATATATGGTTAATTTTTGGTATAGTTGGCAGTGAACTTCAAGATTATCAAGGAAACCTGGCTTCTAACAATGGAAAATTCAATACATAAACTTGAGTGAAGGAAATACTACTTTAAATTACATCAAATATTAATTCAGTGGGATTCTATCCCATTTATAAGAGCTGAAAGGCAAAATTTGTATATTAAAGTTATGCTAAATCAGCACTGAAAAACAATATGGAGACATCTTTGAAAGTAAGAATTGG